CTTTCCCTATCAGCCCCACTACGGCCTGGAGCTTGAGCTCTCTTCTCTGTTTGTCCCAAACTTTATTTCACAGAATCGTGGGGTGTTTCAGGTAGGAAGGGAATTCTGGAAGTCATCCTGTCCAACTCACCTGTCCAAGCAGGGCCACCTAAAGCTGGTTCATCAGGACCATGTCCAGACAGCTTTTTAATATCTCCACCAGGATGGAGATTTCATAGTCTCTCACCCATTTCCTACCTTTGTTCCTTTCTGCCCAATGTCGCCAGTGGTCCCAGGATCACCTTTCCCTCCCTACATAAAAAAACCAGACAAACATATCATGCACAGCCTGAAAGGTTAAGAATACAGCCCTGGTGATAGCATCACCTTGCATTTATATTGTACTTTTAACCATCAGAGGCTCCTTGAAAATTTGCAGATGGTGGTCAACTTGCTGCTAGAAATGCAGCCAGCGCTGGGGTGGGACAGGGAACGGCCTTGCAGAAGATGGGTGACTGCGAGAGGGCTGCTAGTGAAGTGGGACAAAATACTGTGATGAGTTGCTGCAGGGTCTGTAGCTTACGCTGGGCAATGTTTGGAAAATGAGCCCTGAGGACCTGTGTGTTGGAGTGAATGTTACTGAGGTTTGGCAGCTAATGGAGTGGCAATAATCACAAGGACCTACACTGTGGAGATGTTAGATGGTCTCTCTCAGCTCTTGTGTTCGTCACTGCCTGTGGAAACTGAGACTGTCATTCAAAGTCTGGATCCTTCAGGCACTACCTGAAGAGGAACCCGATTTAGAGGATGTTCATTAATTTCAGTGAGGTCTTCCTTTCCTGCTCCCTCCCAAAATTTTCTACTGTTGGTTTTTTTTTCTCTCATGGGAAAACAAAAGAGAAAAACCACCAGCAGATTTCAGCTTGTTTCCGGGAAGTAAAATGAAGACATGTTCCCACCGAGCATCACTTTGGAGATGTGTTTTCAGTAATAGAGGGCCTAAGTCCCATCCATATGGGGGAACTTATCTAGGGCAAGGAAGGCATCCTGTTGTGACAGAGGACCAGCCCATCCCAGGAAAGCGAGGTTCATAAGGGCTTCAGCAAAGGATTGCTTTGTTCCCTGCTCCCTCCATCAGGCAGGTCAGCATCTAGGAGAACTGGACTTGGTACATGAAGGAACTTGAAATTTGGGCCTTGGTAAGTAACAAAGGAAAACTCGTGATGAATAACATGGGAAAACTTAGAAGTTGCTAGAGACATGGACACATTATCTGCTGGCATCCAGAGACTGGCTCCTCCTAAAAATTGGGCTGGGATGTGCATTAGAGACTTCTCCAGGAAGTTTAGGAACCGATTTCGTCTCTCTTTTGGAAAGACTCACCCTGAGCAAGAACCTGCCTCCAGTAATGAGGCACATAGGGTATGGGAGCAGAAATGAACTTAGGGTTGAGAAAGGCACAGAGCCTCTTTCCACCTGCCAAACAAACCGTGTCCTTTCCCACTACTCACCGGCTTCCCCTTCTGCCCTTGAAGACCTCTGTCGCCTTTGGCCCCCTTGTTTCCATTCTTCCCATTGAGACCTGCCGCACCCTGCCAGAAAGAGGAGGAAAATGGATTTCTGTGTCAACTCTTGCGGGGAGGTGGCTGAGGACGGTCATCAGGACGGAAACTCAATAGTAGGAGCCTGGAATAGTAGAAGGTCAGAAGCTACGCTAATACTAGCACCGAGTCCTGACTCTGGGATGTAGCACCCGTTCCTCATTGACTTGCAAGGCACTAGCAAATGCAACCTGTGAGTTGATTTATTTATGATTACAGCTCGGGAAATTGCAGTACATGGCAGCTAAAGAGTAGTCCTGGGCCACCAACATTGAGGTGGTGATGACTGTGGTTGAAAATAGGGGCAAGGGTGTGAAGCAGGCAGCATCACACTGCGAGTGACTTAGAGGGATGCACACAACCCTGAGCACTGGGTCTGCAGCTTCAAACGCCGTCAGTGGAGGAAAGCAGTGCTGGGTGGTGAAATTTGGTTTAGTGAATAAGTGGATCCATGCACGGGATTGCTCACAGCTGCATTTCAGAGAAGATCTCCCATCTGGGGAGTTAAGAGCCAAAAGAGAGATCCTCATCCAGCTCAGACTTGTGGGCAATGCTGGACGGAGGTGTTCCTCCAAGATGACACCTTTTTGCCACACTTTGGAGGTTCTCAGCTTGCAGAGCCACTTCGCAGCTCAGCACGGGACATCGGAGCGACATTCGGCATCGGGGACAATTTGCGTGGGGTCTCCCACTGTTTCAATAGCAAACCAAAAGTTACTAGAAATGCCCTCCAGCTCAGACTTGTGGGCAATGCTGGACGGAGGTGTTCCTCCAAGATGACACCTTTTTGCCACACTTTGGAGGTTCTCAGCTTGCAGAGCCACTTCGCAGCTCAGCACGGGACATCGGAGCGACATTCGGCATCGGGGACAATTTGCGTGGGGTCTCCCACTGTTTCAATAGCAAACCAAAAGTTACTAGAAATGCCCCCCCCCCCCCCTTTTTTTTTTTTTTTTGCAAGGCCGCCACAGTCTACTCGTACATTCTGGCCAATTTTGACTGCAGTTTTCAGAACCTGTATGTGAGATGAAATTGGATTTAGCCCCACTTGAGACACTGGTTGCACAGGGCTCAGCTCACTCGGAGAATGAATTGGCTGTTTAAGCAGATCAAGGGATGAACAAGTGGCATTCTCTACTTGGAATTAATTTGCAGTAGGTTGTTGAAAGGAAACACATTTATTGAAAAAAAAAATCAGCCACCAGATTTGTATGCCAAGCAGTCTCATCACCTCTCCAATTACTCCTCCTCTCAGTGATGAATGGACACTTCAAACACCATCACAGTGACAAGCAAACATCCCAGAGACACATGGGTGGGACGATGCTGTCCCTGATGGTGGGTCAGACTGCAAGGACAGACCTGTTACCTTTTCATTCCCAGATATAAAAATTCAGTTCCTCCTCTGGGAAACATGTTGCTTCTTCAAACCCCTCCCCAAGCCTCAATATATTTTACATTTCAGGGTAAGAGGAGCATTTGAGAGCTGACCAGGTGCTCCTCCAATGCTCTGCTGGTCACGTCTGGATCAGGTAAAGTCCACGTTCCTCAAGCAGGAACGATCAGGCACAAACATCTCATGCAAGCTCTTTATTTACTAGTAACTATTTATTGACGCGATCAATATAAAGTTCCATCTGAGGCAGTAAATGGACCATAAAAAACCCCAGCTAACTGAAGTATCTCTGTTTGCTAGGACAGATTGCTTGCCTGAAGGGTAATAAACCTTTTGGTTTGATGGTTAAATCTCACAAGCCCAGGATACCTTCAAGTGTCTGGCGTTTTTGAGATAGCTTTGAACTGGGTACAAATCCATCTGGCCAGGGATTTACACACCTGTATCCAAGGGGATGGGTTAAAAAGCTTATTCTTGAGCACTGCCTGATCCTGAAGGAACCTGACACTAGTTAGAGGTTTCCCAATTAGCTTTAGTGTTTCTCTTAGTTGTCCCTAGTGTCTCCCATGTCGTGTAGAGACCTTTCCTTGTTTTCCTGTGCTTCCCCACCTGCCTGTATCCAACTCTCATCTCTTATGTCTGCCTTGGATCTTGAGACGCTTCTTGCCTGCTCTTGACCTGAAAGGAGCCCTAATGGTTTTAGGAAGAGTTAAGCTCACAATATGAGCTGATAGGCAGAAAGGTATCTGGGTCTAAGCCATGCCTATTTGGTCCAAGGAAGTTTTTGACCTGGGCCTTATCTCACCATAGGTGGACTCCTATACATCATGGGCTGAAGAGACTTTGTCGTATGGACTAGAAGGTTTATAATAAGGCTTGGACATGACAGCAGGTCTGTCCCTGCTTCAGCTTGCAGCGGAGTGGGAAGCAGGTCAGAGAGGTGATGCTTTTCAAGGTCAACTGCACCCAGGGCAAGAAAAAGATGGAATAGGAGGAAAAAAAAGAGAGGAAGAGGAAAACGTTTGAGCACTAGGCAAGGGAAAGAAGCTGAATGGAAATTTGTTCCCTCAGATTTACATTCTGCATTCCGACAGGCAAATAAAGGCTGGGCAATAAGAGCTATAAAATGGCAGTTTAAAGGCAATTACTGGTGGAGTACTGGAAATGGCTCTTGCTATTTGGTTCTGTTATTGAAGTGTTGCTGGAACAGGCTTCATTTAACTGCAAAGACACCAGGTACCACGAAGGCATGGCAATGAAGAGGTTTAGTCATAAATCCTGGCTGTGACGCTAAGACCTCTTAGATCAGCCAAGGATCTGTGCTTCCAGGCACAAATTCCCATGAAACTTTGGGCTGGAGCCAGGGAGGAGCCTGCCTTGTCTCCAGGCTTATCATTTACACTCAGATGGATGAGCTGTGGAATTGATTGTGTCACTCTGGGAAAGTGTGAAACCCATCGGCAGAAACGTTGCCCCAACAGCAAGCCCCAAAAATGGTCAATCTGTTTGAAGACATACATCAAAGGTCTAATGCATTTCCAAACCATGGTGTAGGCTGCAACCTCTTCTAAAATGTTACCCACCTCCTGGGCTTCAGTGCTCGATATTTGATGATACATATGAAGTAGCTGGGAGTCTCAACCTCAGAGTTTTATTTGTGTTTTTATCCCTTCCCTGTGTCTTTTCTCTAGACTGTCCTGCCCACAATTATTTGCTGTAGTCCTGAGCATCCTCCTCAAAAAATCCCTTCTTGGTGTGGGAGCTGCCACTGGTCCTCACATCCATAATGAGCATTCGTTCTCAGGCATTACATCTCAGAGATGGGTCAGCCTGACACCCTACTGCAAAGCTTCCAAGGTATCCTGGGCAGAGCTTTCCACCTATGGTCAGACCTGGCTGACTATCTTCCCTTTGACCAGTCTGGTCAAAGAGGTGTCATGGAGAGACCTCCTAGGGCAAGAACTTCTTAGGAGATGGCTTTTTCCACTCTGAGTCACCAGGGGCATCTCTTGTCAAACCCAGGGCAGACTTCGACACCCCACCTTTCCTATCCTCTGGCTTGAAATGGTCCACTGTTCAGCAAGCAGGAGAACTGGGATGCCATATAGGTTCACTTAAGCCCTCATGCAGCTGATGGAAAGAGTTAGGTCAGTACCTCTTCAGAGTTGCCTACCCACCACTCTTATCTATATCAAGACCTCTTATGCTCTTAATATCTATAGTAAAGTCAAATTCCTGCTTATAACCATGCCCGTGCCTATCATACTCTGGGTTATAGGGACATAATTATCACTTAGTTTTCAGACTCTGCAGAGTGCTCTCTGGTTTTCATTGTAGCACTGTGCTGTGTCATGGTGGCAAAAGAGTGTCCTTTAGACTTCCTTCGGCCTTCCTGGAATGGCCATATTTCTCATCTGATTGTCCTAGTGTTAACCAAAATCCCCTGACTTGCTCTCACTTCTTGCTTTGTCTTCAGGTGTAGGCTTTGCTTTCATGCCTTGTGAACTCCACCACTCCCAATGATCAGTGTGGACCAAAAAGTCCTGGATTCCTCCCATCCTTCCTCTCATTCACAAGCTGATGGCTCTGCTCCAACACAGGCTTTGGCAGATGTAGTCTGGCAAGTGTTGCCGAACAAAGCATGTCAGAAATGGTTCAGAGAGCAAATAAGAAGGTCCAGGGATCTGGTGGGTCTCCCACCTTCCAGGCAAGTTGAAGCAGGACACCCTGGGAATAAGGACATGGCTGTGCAGATGGTGTCACCACAAAGTCCCTGGCTTCTTCAGTTATAGGGCAAGTATCCACAGGCTGCTGGCCAACTACAGAGCCAAGCTCACAAGAGGAGGTGAGGAACACCTCTGAGTTCCAACTTGTACACCTGGTGAGGAGGACTGCAAACCAGGATGGAGAGGGCCAAGGAACACTGGTAATTGTAGACCCTGGAATCCCAAAATAGGGTGTAATGGCAAGAGAGGGAGAAAGAGGTATTCATAATAGAGCTTTAGGGAGAATAATGGGTTAATTTGCCAGTATATTGATACACAAAACATAGGAAATAAAGAATCACAGAATCACAGAATCACGAGGTTGGAAAGGACCTTCAAGATCATCAAGTCCAACCATTAATCCAGCGCCACCATGTTCCCTAAACCATGTCTTGAAGCACCACATCCACACGTTTTTTGAACACTTCCAGTGATGGCGACTCCACCACCTCCCTGGGCAGCCTGTTCCAATGCCTGACCACCCTCTCGGTGAAGAAATTTTTCCTAATATCCAATCTAAACCTCCCCTGGCACAACTTGAGGCCATTTCCTCTCATCCTATCACTGGTTACTGGGGAGAAGAGACCAACCCCCACCTCACCACAACCCCCTTTCAGGTAGTTGTAGAGAGTGATAAGGGCTCCCCTCGGCATCCTCTTCTCCAGACTGAACCCCCCCAGTTCCCTCAGCCGCTCCTCATCAGACTTGTGCTCCAGACCCCTCACCAGCTTCACTGCCCTTCTCTGGACACGCTCCAGCACCTCAATGTCCTTCTTGTAGTGAGGGGCCCAACACTGAACACAGGATTCAAGCTGCGACCTCACTGCAAGAGGTGAAGACGAGCTGGAAGCCTTAATACATGATCACGATTACAACTTAATAGGCATAACACAGACTGCAATATTAATATAAAAGGGAGCAGCATGGCAGGAATATCTATGCAAAAGAGCACAGCGCTTTTAGAAAAGAGGAAAAAGGAGTAGGAGGTGTCTTGGATATCAAGAATGTACTCATTTGACTTGAGGTCCACTTGTAAAGTCAACTAGATCCAATTAAACTCTCTGGGTATTGATTGCAGGGAGAAGATACAAATGCTATCGCTTGGTTGGGAACTCCTACAGATCACCAACTCAAAGTGTAAATGGATGAGGGTTTTACAGCTGGTTAAATTACTCAGCATGAATTCAGCAGGACTGAAAATTCATCAGCATCAGGATCAGCAAATTTTTGCAATGAGTTGGCGATTTGTGGATATGAAAGATGGAATTAGAGGGAGCTGAAGGAAAATGAGAACCACTAGCCATTACCTTTGCACAGGACAGATGTGGTACAGGTAGACTGGACCAAGTAGTGTCTGTCTTCAAGAAAAAGGGAGAAGAGGACTTGGGGAATGATACACGAGACAGCCTAGCCTACCACACCAGAATAACTTGGGGAAAAAATAATCAAGGTATCTGTTAGCACTTAGAAGATAAGACTTGGGTTTGTGAAGAACAAGTCACATCAGGATGTTGCATCCTAACACAGGTGTCTGAAATAGATGATGTGAATCATGCTCTAAGAGTACCCTAAAGCTGCCAACAAGACAAGTCTGAGCATGGATCTCTCAGATGTAGAAAGTGAACATGGCAGACATCTAACCTGAGGTCAGATGAATTTCACCCAGGATGTCATATATCATGGCTCTTCCAACACGGCCCCAGCTCTGATCTGACTTTTGCAATTTTAGAAATTTAATGAAGGACCAAAACAGGGCTCTGTTATCTCAGTCTAGCTCCGAGCACAGCACAGATAACATTAACCTGCACCAGCAGCATCCCTAAATGTTTCTTCTAAGAAGGATTACTTAGCTTTCCTCAAATATTGATTGACAAGATACCGATTGCTGATAGTTAATTGTATTATGTGCTGATCCCTGCGGGCGCCAGCAGAAAAAAGCACGTCTTCCGACTATGACCGGATGGTTGCTGGCCAGGATGGTGGAGTCCAGCTGTGCTTCCTTTGCACTCAGCAGCCTCAGAAAACATCTTTGCTCTTCTGCACTACTACTGGTTGTCACCTGTGGATTCAGGTGTTCACTACAAAGCAATTCCAAAAATGCACTCGATCCAATGCCTACGTGCGGTGATCCCAGATGATGAGGTCTTACAGCACGTTACGGCCTCATCACTTTGCTCAGAAGGTTGTTTACAATTAGGTAGGGGTTGAAATACTTAATTGAATGAGGACCTTTTTCTTAGTGAGCAATTACCAGTCTGGATTATGGGCTTGTAAATAGTTACACAGCCGTGACTTGTAGTCAGTAGGCAGCGCTAAATGGCTATGGGGCCTCCACAGCAACAGAGAGTTGCTGAGAGTCACCCACTCACACACAAAGAGGCTTAACTGGGGAACAGGTTAAGAAAATACTGATATTTCTTATTGCAATAAAACAATTGAACATGCTTGTATTTCCTTGACCTGAGAAAAATTCCTGGTCTCCTTTTGGTGTTCCCTCCCCTCTTATTCCTTCCTTTCCCAGATGAAATCAGCCGGGACTTTTTTCACTTTGGACAACATTGGAGACCATTTTTTCACTTGGGGTTTCTTCCAGGTGAAATGGTGAAGTTCAAAGGCAAGTAAATACTTTTGCAAACCAAAATTACTTTACTTACCCGCCCCCCCCCTGCAATTTGTGAGGAAACAAGGTGAACTCAGAGATTATCCAGGTCCTCCAGCATAACTGTTTTCCTCTGGCCAACAATATGCACCCACTGAGCACTGAGAACAGCCACTTGTAGTCCAGTCTCTTAAGGATACATACATTTCTCATGGGATACACAACCTATAGTCACAATTCCTAAGCCACTTGAACAAGAAACGTCATCTGTTCATGCCTGCCAATGCCCCCAATAGACTAACAGCATTAAAAATAATGAATAAATGCATATTTCATGCATTTCTTGATGCGAAATGCAACATCCTATTAATACATACCTCTGGCTGTGGTCTCCTCTGCCCACGGATGGTTTTCCAGCAAAGCCTCTTTGAACGTGGGCTTTGTAGAGCAACAGCAAGCCAGCATCGCCTTATCCCCCCCCGTGACCCACACCCATGGCTGTGGGGAGAGGACTAGCAGTGCAAGCCTGGCTCACGCCCAAGACTCGTAAAGGCAGAGAAACATGCTCCAACTTACAGCAGAGCCCGGCAAGCCTGGTTCTCCTGGCTCCCCCTGCAAGGAAAACAGTGACGAGTTACCATGGGGAAGAGCTGCATTCCCTCTGGAAATGGAGATTGCTGTAGGAGATACCTACAGCTGTTGGAAAAGGGGACAAGGGGACCTTTGAGGACCCCTCTGTGGCAGCAGTTGGAGGGGGCAGGTAGGCTCCTCCAACCATGTCATTTGGACAACTGAATGCAACCCTACATCTCCATTGACTGTAACTGGAGCTTAAACTGCAGTTCACACCTCATGCCTAAATATTGATGTTTCACCAAGTCATTATTGACTATTTTAGCCCAAGAAAGATGCCAGAGCCCTCTGTTACTTTACAAAATGGGAGAAATCTTTAGGGCTCTCCTGGGAAAGTGCAGCTACTTCTTCTGTGTGGTAGCCCCCCAACATTTCAATCAGCTATTCTGGAGAGTGAACACAGAATTATATTCTGTGAGAAAACTGTGAAGGGATTTTACATATCAGTTTTTGCATGATTTTACACATCAGTTCTTGCAGAGGATGCCTTAGCAGAGGTGTTTACTGTACTCACCTTCTGTCCCACCGGTCCTCTTGTTCCAAAAAGCCCCATCACTCCCTTGGAGCCAGCTTCACCTTTGACTCCCTAAAATTTTAAAATTCCTGTCAAATACATTTGAAGCACCTCCTTCTCACCCACACCCTGAGAGAGACCAGTAGAAGAACCCATGGAGATGGCAAAGAGGATGACAAAAAGCACCATTCCTATAGCAGACTTCAGCCCCAGGGAGCCACCAGGTCTCTATGGCAGCCAGCACTAGGGAGGAAAGCCACCAGCTGCAGAACAGCTCAGCAGAAACCTCAGCAAAATGTTCTGTTGGTGTTTCTGTTGATGTTTCTGTTGGTGCCCAGTGGTGGCGTTTGAAGGAAAACAAGAAGAAAAGGATCTCAAAGCCTCTGGATGAGCTGCCCCCATGCAAACACTCAAGTACAAGACCCTGCTTGAGTTACTGGTGGTGGAGATACTACTCTGGTGTTCCATCCAAAGCCACTCAGATATTCAGACAAGAGTTATTCTTGCTTTAGGAGATGCTTACATATTGTTTTTTCATTTGTTTTTTTTGTTTGTTTGCTTGTTTGTTTGTTTTACTGGAGGGCAATCTGACAGATACAATGTGTGGGATTTAATCTGACTTAAAAAACAGGTACCACCCATGGGATCATCTCCACGGGTCTCCTTTACAGTTGCTGGGGACCTAATCAGTGCAATCGGTCATGGTAAGGACACAATTTGCCTCTTCACAAGGGAGATGTCCAAACTGGGTCAGGTGATTCCCACCCTAAACAACACTGATTTTACAGGTCTCCACGGGAAATAACAGCAGCTGAATGTCTAGCTCAGATGGGGAAGATGCTGCTGTAGGTACTTGTACTTTCAGCAGAGTTCCCACCCTGGGTCAGACTTCTGGAGCAAAAAACATTAACATAATACAAAACCAGGGATGATTAGCACCGGGAGATTTAATCTGTGACTCAGTCTGAGAGGGGGAGAGTTACGTGATCCCTCCTAGTGGAGTGGTGATGGGTTGAGACCTGAGACCTCCACAGGGTGCTCACAAAGAGCAAAGGCAGACGGAGGAGCAGGTGACTCGCTCTGCTACCACCCAGGGAACAGCCCTGTGTGAAGAACAAGAACAGAGGAGCCAACCAAGCCTTAACAAAAATGTCACAAGAGCTGCAGGGCTTGAAGTAGTGGTCATGGTGGTGTTGGGCTGACGGTTGGACTTGATGATCTTAAAGGCCTTTTCCAACCTTAATGATTCTGTAAGTAGCACAGCCAGCTCTTGGAGGGAGAGGGAAATGCAGGACTCTTACAGTGCTGCAGTAACTGAATGGTCACTTTTCCCAAAGTGATCCTGTACGGCAGACACCAATTTTACATTGTCCCACAACTCCAGACCTGACAACTGGCAAACTGGATGTCTATGACATTCCCAAGCTCCAGCCCAGCATCCTCCTCTCCCTGTCTGTGGTAAGAGCTGGGCGAGTGTGTCCTTGCACTGTGTTTTCCAGTGGGCACGTGGGAAGGGAAGATGCAGAGATATCGGTCCCTTCCTCACACAACCAGTGACCTTTTGTTGTCTTTCTCAGTCGCATCGGGAGGTTCATACCTTTTCTCCTACAGGGCCATCCTCTCCCTTCTCACCTTTGTCTCCATCAAAACCTGGCGGGCCCTGTTCACCCTGAAATGTAAAACAGAAATTAGTGGACTCTGCCTCTCTCCTGGAAGGACCCAGCTCTCAGCCACTGGCTCTGGACCAAAGCCCTGGTTCTCAGTGCTTGTCCCAAGCTGTGCCCAGTGCTGATGACACAAACAGTGGGAAAGGAACAGCTTAAAAAGCCAAACTTACAGGATCTCCTTTACTGCCTTTATAGCCCTGAGGTCCAAAAATAGTCATGGGTTCACCCTAGAGAAAGGAGACACAGAAGAGATGTAGACACCCAGTGATACATGAACTCATGGGTCCCACTGGATGGAACCACACTTGCTGTGATGGGCAAAATGGTAATTCACACATCTGCAATAAAGGTAAGCGTCCAAATGGACCCAGATGGGGAAGGTACAGATGCTCCACAGAACATTAAGTATTAAGGTTAGTCTGTCCTTAACTAAAGGCTGGATGATGAACTTGCACAGAAAACTACAAGAATTCCTGAGGTTTGACAGTGACCTCTTGCTCCAAAAAATGTTGGGGCTCAGTGGCATAGCCGAAAATGGAGCTGTGCACGGTATGACCCTGAGGTCCAATTCATGATCTGAGGCTGTCAGTGGTGGGACAGGCTCATATCTGACATGGTGGCTTGGCTCCTTGATCATTGCACGTCACTCGGGATGTCAAGGTTGGCATCTCCTCCCAGGTGTGGGAGCTGACCATAAGCAGGACGGTGAATGGGTCTATTCATGGTGTCCTGATTTATAGACACAGAGTTGGAGCTAAGGAAAGGAAATCACACTTAAATGTGTACCAGAGGTAGTTTTTTGAGGGTTAGACCCCCAAACTGTCATTGCAAGACAGCCAGTAGATACAGGTGCGCAGTAACCCCATGGACACACTTGTGCCGAGTCTATTTATCAGCTCGACAGCTGAGGAGTGGCATTTTGCTCCTCAGAGTGTGAAAAAAACTGCAACAAGGCTATTCCCATGCAAGAAATGGCTCTGCTCTGGCAAAGCGATGATTGTGTCTCCAAAGTGGTGATGCCATCCATAGTCTGGTGGGAGGAGAGCTGAAGGCACCTTCTAATGGACAGTTGTAGCGTGCTTGAAAAGGACTCCCTTTACACCAGCTCTCTGCAGGGGTGCAGACATCCCTGTTCAGGGTGACTGTGCCTTGCTGCTGCCGCCTTGACAAACACCCGCCAATCAATATTCCCCAAACTTTGACAATCTTTTGAAGTTTATCCAACCATCACCATAGGACTCTGACCAAATTCTGGCTTAATATACCCTCCTGCTTCCCTGCTCTGGAGGGTCTTTAACAGAGGTGGAATGGGGCTCAAACAATTTTTGGAACAAAAGGGAGAATAAAGATCCTGCAGTTTAATCCGACACACAGCACAGGCCCTGGGATTCACGCGGTTACTCCGGTATTGATCAAGGGCGAGTTAGAAAGAAAGTTAAGCTGCAATCGTGTGGAACAAACCCAAGCCAAATATCCCCCCGCTCCCGTTTTATCTCACACTCCACCTTATATTTTACTAAAGGTATTCTTTGGAAAACGCATTACACATTCCTTCAGCTTGGAAAATGTTTTGGGGCCTCTTCGCAAAGCAGATTAAGGATTGATTCGTCTCTGGAGCGAGTCCCCTTTGAAAGTAGCTTCCTCAGAGACAAATCGGCCTTAATCATTGAATACTGCATGACTCAAAGGCAGAATCGTCATGTAGGTTTTCTAAAACTCATTTTCTAACAAGCCATTTCAGCCAGGAAGGAAGTTAACAAAACGCTGGGCAGAAGTTCAACATTTTCTGTGCATTTTCCACAAGCGCTCAGGGAGTTATTTTCACATTACCTGCTATGAGCCAGCTCAGGTTTTTTAAGATTGTAGTATGCTTTGGGGTGAGCTGGTTATACCAAAATCAGTGGAAATTTTCTTCCCTTAATTCACAGGAGGCATTTTTGTGCCCCAGCAGTTACCGAAGTGACTTTTCTTTGTTGTTTTATAGGATTCTGCCAAAACTATCACGCAAGCTCAACCTGGAGCGCTGCATCCAGTGCGAGGGTGGCATTGACAAAGTAGATTGAACCCAGTGGAGACCTCCAAGAAGGAGAGGGGCACCTACGTGTTTTCTTCCACTATCTACGTGGGTATACAATGTAGAGAGGATGGATCCAGGCTCTCTTTGGAGGCACACAGTGAAAGGACAAGTTGGAACAAGAGAAACTCCTGTTAGACAGAAGGAAAAACTTCTTCACCCTGGGGGTGGCCGGATGCCTGAGCAGGGACACAGAGAAGCACACATGAGGCCCTGAGCCTCAAATCCTGAAGATTTCATTGCCAATGGGATCGGGATCCAGGCACATGGACGGCAGTGCTCACACCACCATGGACCAAAGGTAGGATTACAAGTCCTCTTCGATTAAAGGCATTTGCACACCATCATCTGGGATCCTGGCTCAGCGCTCCAGACTGGGTGGGCTACGCTCATCCACATGGAATGATATGAATCCTATAAAATCACTAAGACCTCAGATATTTGAAAACACATATAAATATCTTTTACCATTTATGCCTCTACCTTGTAAGATCACAGACTCATTTAAATAACTGTCCATCTGCTCACTGGTAACTATAAAATCCTGAACACCTTTTATCCCATCTGCCCCAGAAGGTCACAATCTGGAATGTCCTTACTCTTTCTCCCTTGGGTCCCAGAAGTCCCCGATCACCCTGAACACAGGAAAGAAAAAAAAAGACAGTGAGTGATTCCGTTTTTACTCACTCCTGTGTTGCTCAGTCCATTGATTCACACTCCAAGCCACTATGATCTATCACAGCTGGAAGTCAGTTCCTCTGGGCACTCTGCAAAATGATTAGCTTACCACAAGAGATTGCCTACAACTAGAATTTATCGCATTGACAAAAAAAATAAAGACCCAGAGGACTAAAGTGGTTTGCCTTACTCCATGCTCAGCACATCCATGATGTGGAGCTATTGCTGGATTTTGACTTTCCAATGGCATGTAGCATCTCCATGCTCTAGGGGCGTGCCTACGCTACATCTAGGGTGGGAAGGCATCCTATATAATTCCATATTTCCCAAATTTCAACCTCAAATCTGGCATGCTTTACTGAGAGTGTATGAAATATTAGCTGTTCCTGGAAGTTTTTATAATGGGCATGGGATATGAGGCTGGAAGGGCAAGACTCGTTCCTGATGGCATCTCATAACCTTCTCCAGTGCTCAAGACTGATGTCTTGAGTAGGCAGGAGAAGGGGGAGGCTGCAAGGACCAGGCAGGGCCAGGAGAGTAGAGACAGGCTTTAAAACTGCACTTGAACTGCTTCTGAATGGCAGAACTGTATGTAGATCCCTCCACCGGTGTCCCATTGCACACCCCTGACATCTGGGACAAAATCTACTCTTCTCAGTACTACACTTCCCCAGGGTTGCGAGTGGGATGCAGCAGAAAGGAGACCAAGGGGATGCCTGCTCAGTGATAGAAATGAAGGGGTATGTGTTGCCTGGTGGGTAGTCGTCGTCCTGCTAATGCTGCAGGACATCTGCTCCCCAGCCCTGTGCCTCCAGCCCTACACATCTGGGGACTGGCCAGAGGACACCAGGGGTCTCGTTCTGTCCAAACTCCCATAATTCCTTCCAGAAAGGACTAGGCATGCATAAAGACAGCATGGACCCTCATCTCAGCCCAGCCATTAGAGCGGGCTGTCAATGCCACTTCACACTTCCACACACTGAAGGAGGTCCCCTCCCAGTCCGCCCCCAGAAGATGCTGGGATTATCCCCACTGTTTTAACAGAAGCATCAGCAGCGTGGGCTGCTGCAGAGAAAGGCTCCCCACAACGGTGCTTTCCTCCACAGGCACTGTGTAGATAAGATGACTGTTGCTTACTCTTTCGCCTTTCACACCTGGGAAGCCTTTTAGACCCTGCAAGAATATAAAACAAGATGTGAAGATAAATACCAGTGGGGGAAGGTGTTAGGAAAGAGCAGCCTCCACCTGAAGGCAGAGCCAGCTTCGAGGATGGGCTCCACCATGGAGAAGCTGCTGGTGGGACCAGCACAGGAGCCTCTACTCTCCTTTCTTTCCCCCCAGAGAGCAATTTGAATCACACTGGTGCAAAGAGAAAATTTAGCCTCAAGATTCTGCCCACCATTGCGTCTCAAGCACAACTCAGGATGTCTTGGTAGATGTATAAATATAGCCAACGTCCCCCATTTTGCAAGCCATGTACCGAGATTTTTGTGCCCTTAACATTCATGAGATGTAGCCCTGACCTCTCAGAGAGAACAGGGGAAGGGTTGCTGTTGGAGGGGTCCTCATAGGTGGGGGTGATGAGGATCTCCAGATGTCCCCCAGGGCAGGTAGGAGCCCTTGGAGACAGAGCCAGGATGGGAACCACACCTGGAGAGCTGAAAAGGCATGGTGGTCAACCCAGGTGTAATCTGCTTTCAAGACTGGGGACCGGCAACCTTCCATGAATAAGGAGAGAGGTGGCACCTTCCACCTGCAGAACTGGCAGCTCATCACAGGGGTGGACACGGACAGGAGGGACAAGGAGCACAGACATTTCCCGAAGGGCACAAAACGTGGGCTTTGCCAGCTCACTGTGCCCTGCGCTCCTGCTCTGACCACTGGGACACATCATCCTGCAAGCCCTCGTGGCATAAGGGCCAGCCTTGCTGGGAATCAACCCTTCAGGGATGAGATCCCAGGGTGAAACTTGGCATTGCAACCATCCTCGGCCTTCTCAGGAACTTCATAAAGGCCCAGACTACTCGTAATAACAGATTCATTCTATTAGAGATGACAGCCTAATAAATAAAAAGGTGTTTGTTGAAATACCGGCTGTAGTCTGCATCTCCCCTGACTCAGTCCCCTATCAGTGAAAAGGGAATTTAAAACAGAACAAGACTCTGAAATTCATGCAGGCAAGCAGACCTGACAAAGAACACCTTCTGTGTTCACCTCTGAGCGATATTTTGGGAGGACTTCAAAAGCAGCCTGTAGATGAGTCAGTCAAATGGACAAGAGCATAAAGCAATTGTGCTCTGCATGACTCCTTATGTCTCACAGCTGCCTACAGGACTTACACTTACTCATCCCAACACAACATCAGAATTCAGGTTCCCAAAGTCTCTATTTCCCACTGAAAGCATCAACCCATTTTATTTTTTTCATCGCTCATGGAGATTTTGCCAACCCTGGGTTCACTGTTGTCTGTGCCATAAAATCAGCCCTCCATGCTATTTTAAGACTCACCATTGTGCCAGTGGGGCCCCGGACTCCCACGATGCCCTCGTCACCCTGTTAGGATGGAGAGGGGTAGTGATGGCCATCAGCAAGGAGAAACACAACACACACAGTCCCAGCTCTGCAAACCATCCCACTGGGGACAGTAGGAATTAAGCATGCGGAAGCCCAGATCCTCGAAGGAGTTGTCCAACCTCTTCACTTAAACCTTGGGTTTAAGTGCCGTAATGCTCCTATGGATCTGGATTAAAGAGTCTAAGGGGCTTAAGATCATCCACATGTCACTGCAGGTAGACACTGCAGTGTTTAGAGAATAATGTTTTGGTCAGATTGAAGCTTCAAGCTTCAGCTTCTCCTCAGTGCCTGAGAGAAACAGGCATTTGTGAGATGTTCTGCACCTGATTTAGCATGATATAAATCACTCCAAAAAGGTGTCTCTTCCTCTCTGTTGGTATGGAGAGGCCCTGGCAGGACTAGCTCAGAAGCAGCCATCTGAGGCTGGATGACCTGGTGTGTCCCTCCCCAAGATGTACTTACATCTGACAAAGGCATGTGCAAAAAGGGACAGAAGTCTGAGATGTTCCTGGGACACAGAGATTTCTCCCTCCCGATTAGAGGACTCAGTAGCTTTTCTGTACATTCATAACTCCTTGCTGAACATGATTTCAGCAGGACTCACCACAACAAATAAGGCAGCCAGGAATTCACCCGGAACTCATACCACTGACTTTCAGAAGGAAGAGGCCACCAGTCAACTGCTCAACAGTAACTTGTGCCTTTGGAGACCAATGTGAGGCTTATCTTCATGCCCAGCTGTGGTTTTCAGATGTTGCAGACCTTGTTCTGAGCCTCCCTTTAAGGGTGCTATTGGCTTTTTATAAACCTTGCTACAAAGGATAGCTGTGCTGGTGGGTCTCTTTTATGACCTCCCTAGGTAGATCCTACAAGACTTACCTGTCTTTAAGTTGTCTAGACTTAGGCATTGTCCTGTGAGGCCAGATTTATCTCTCTCTTATAAAGCCAATGTAATCTGAGATTCCGTGGCTCACTTTGGATTTATGCTGGAGTCAGAAGAGCAAAACATTATTTCATAATTTCCTTCAGATAATGAAGCTTGGGCAAGGCTTACCCCAGACCTTTCACAGCTGCTGACATTCTCATTAAGTGTTTTGTCTCAGGGGCCTCATTGAACAGCGCTGCTGGCAGATGGGGAGTTTGTCTAAATGGATTGCAGCATAAAATCAGTTTATTCCTGGAACAGCCACAGAAGCAGCAGATTGAAACATGGCCTCTGATCACAACTCAAGAAGGTCTCCCTGGGGTCTTTGCCAGAAGGAGACCAAAACTTCTCAGCAGCATGAGGAAAAGTGAATGTTGCTGCCCCAAGGATGATGAGAGCTGGTTTACCTCTGCCAGGACAACAGGAGGGAAGAGGGGAACAAGGATAAAAAAGCTGGAGGCAAATTTCTGAAGGAGCAAGCTTGCAGGTAGCATCCCCAAAGCACACAAAACCAAGGTGGCTCCTCACCGAGCTGTTAGGATTAAAACATGCAGATGTAGGGGTGTAGATATTGCCTTCAATGCTACCATCTAGCCAGTGAAAGCACAGCCCACACAGTCAGTGGGGCAGGATTCACTTGGACATGCAGTTGACCAGTGTGATCTGTAATGCTTGAGGGTGTCTAATTATGGAGGGGATGCTAATTGCGGCCTGTGGACAGATTCTGGTCAGTGCCAGCTCCAGCTGGGCATAGCAGTGTCCATCACCTGCAACCCTGGCTGGTGAAAAATTAAGGAGAGCTCTGAAATCAGCCCTTTAGGCATTTTCTAAGATGGGTGAGTGGGAGGTGATGGTATAAAGCTGCCTCCAAAAGAGGGTAGGCTGCAAGAAGCCAAGCCAGACACATTTATAGAGGGACCTACCCGAGGGCCAGGCAGTCCACGGGGACCTCTTGGGCCAGCTGCTCCAACTCCGATTTCTCCCTGAGGAACAGAGAATCCCAGAGGTCTCATTTGGAGCAAGGACACCACATCACATGATTGCTGATTAGTTTGACCATGACTTAAAAGTCACAGTCAGTCACTTCCATTGACTTTCTGCTGTCCTTTCTGGAGGATGCCCCAGCAACCAGGGAAGAAGGGCATGGGGGGTGAAAGAGGGATGAAGTGACTAGATGGGATCAGGGATAAGGAGCCAGGGGAGGGCAGTGAGCTGTCTCATTGCCACCCTAGGATCTCAGCTGTTTGTGACCTGCCTGGCAGGTTGGCACTGACCTTGTTGCCTTTGGGTCCAGGTATTCCGGGAATCCCCTGTTGGGTGAGGAAAACAAAACAGAAGAGAGGACTTTGCTTTCCACGTCCTTGATGCTCTCCTGTCCCAGTGCTCCCAGAGGGTGAAAGCACACCCAGCCCAGACACCAGGCCCCCAACCTCTATCCCCAGCCATCCTTCTGCTGCTCAAAAGACACTGGGGTGGTGTACAAAAGTCACCTCTTTTCCTGGGGATCCTGATGGTCCTGCAGGCCCAGCAAATCCATTGCGTCCTCTCTTCCCACGCTCCCCCTGGAAAACAAAGTCCTTTAAGGAGGAGAAAGCAGGAGCTGGTGCTCCTAGGTGTTCCCTGCACTGGCTGCAAGCAGGAGGAATAGCCATTGGGGTACTCCTTGTGTGGGCTTCTTGTTGTTGAGAAGGGACTCCAGCTACACTGAGACCCTGAGTTGATGTACATTGCTGTCCCCCACCCCAACTGCAGATAATTCTCCTTGTCCCTGCAGTGAGACTTACCCATTGCTTCCTCTGTTCCCAGGGGCTAATGACACCAAAACCCATTGCTCACATCCCTGTGCTATCACCACCCCTTTTCTTCCCAGTTGTCTCATCAAGTCACATCACTAAGTTTAAAAGGAGAGCAACGGGTCCCCACCTGCTCCAGTGTTGGTTTGTTTTTTTTTTTAACTTGAAGATCATTCCCCCTGTACCAAACCTTTTGGCATGTTTTTTCCCCAGTTGCATCAGTTGGTCTAATATATGCTGCTACCTCTCCTTTTGCAACCAGATTTTGTTCCTGCTTCTCTCCACTGACTGTGCATAGGCTCAGGGTCTGGAGATCTGGATAGGTGGGGCTTGAACCATCATGGACACCCAGTGTAGGCAGTCTCTGTAGGACCATCATTGTTCTCACCTTGAGATGGTTAACACAACACATGCAGTCCCCTCACTGCACACCACCTACCTTCTGTCCTGGCATCCCGGGCAGACCTGGAGCCCCTCTGTCCCCCTGTGACCCGGGGGTGCCAGCGTTGCCGCGAATGCCCTGGATGCCTTGGGCTCCTGGAGGTCCTGGGGCCCCTGGCTCACCCTGTTGAGTGAATCACAAGGAATTTTGATCTTAGGTGGGACTAACTGCACCCCTAAAGGTCCTAGAGAAAGCCTGGGGTGTCTCCTTGAATTCACATGACCAGTACACCCCCTCCAGCCCTGGTCCATAAGAGAGGTCCTAGGGCTGGAGAAAGGGCCGTACTGTGGCTTGCTAAGCAGGGAGCCCTTACCTGAAGACCTTCAGAGCTCTCCAGTGAATTAAAACCCTGCAGACCCACAACATCCCAAGGGATCACAGAAACGCATCTCTGCTGAGACCACAACTCTCTGGATTTTTTTCACAGCCATATTTCACAGCCTGATCTAGTTGAAGCCTGCAGGGGGGTTCGACTACATGACCTTCCTACACAAACCATTCTGTGATTCTACAATTCTATGATATTTATCCTCTGGACCTCACCCACTTTGAAATGGCCCTTTGGAGGACACAGAGCATTCCCTCTGTCCCGTGTAATGGTGTTCCTGCCTTCCCAGATTGGCTTTGGTGCGTTATCTTTGTAGCCCCAGCCAGTTCTGTGCTCCAGCCCCAGTGGTGGAAAGCAAGCACTACAAAGAGAAAGACCCATAAAAAACCAAGTGCAATTCTATCTAGAAGAGAATAAAGGCTTACCTTAAATCCAGGTGGCCCAGCCTGACCAATGGGACCTCTGAACCCAATTCCTGGTTCTCCCTGTGAAGAGAAGATGATCGGGAAAAATCAAGATCACTCCTTCCACTGTGGGCCCATCAAAATGAGAGTTTGCTTCATGCTCCCTGGAAACCCAGATGAAGTCCCTCAGAGCTGATCCTACACTGACTGTTTCTACAGAGCCCTCACTGACCATCACATCTCCTCTAGATAATGGGAAGTCTTATCTGACCTGGAGAGACAAAGGTGCTGAGAGCATTTAAAAAGCTTTAGAAAAGCTTTTAGGAATCTGAATTGCAGGAATATTACTGGAGATGGTGTCAGAGGACTCTGGGAGAGACTCATATCTTCACAGAATCACAGAATCATTAAGGTTGGAAAAGACCTTGAAGATCATCAAGTCCAACCATGAACCCAACACCACCACGTCCACTAAACCATGTTCTGAAGTGCCACGTCTACATGTTTTCTGAACACCTGTCTGATGGTGACTCCACCACCTCCCTGGGCAGCCTGTTCCAATGCTTGACCACTCTCTCTGTAAAGGAACTTTTCCTAATTTCTAGTCTAAACCTCCCATTACTCATTTGTGAGACAGGTGTCCTGCCTATGTGAGCCAACTGGAGTCACTCCTTAGTCAACAGAGAGACATTGGGTCCCCAGCGCGTGACAGGCCACACTGAGTCCACATCTCAGGAGGTTATCTGGACACCATCCCCTGAGATGAGGAGGTTATGTACCACAAAAGGAGAAGGCAGAGCAGGAGGCAAGCTCTCGCAGTGTAAGAAGAGACACCCTTGACTGTGGTACCAATGTTGTTTACCTTTTGACCATTTTCACCTCTGTCTCCTTTGGTGCCCTATGAAATGAAGAGAGAGTTTACCAAGCCTGTGCAAGAGGTCATGTGAAGTACAACCTCAGTGCAACCCCAAGCAAGAGCAAAGGTTCCCAGTTGTGCTCATAGCCTATACCAGCATGGAGTAACTGGTCCCTCTGACCTCCACCTCTTTTCCCCAGAGGAGGAGGGCAGTGGCTGTGTGACCGGGGAAGAGCCAAATGCCCTAACACAGAGCCACACTGCTCCCAGGAAGGAGATGGAGTACTGGGCTGACCCAGAAGATTTTGACTTTCCTATGGCAATCTCCAGTGCTGGATTTGGACCACTTAGCTGGTAACGCTGTCCTGCTCCAGCTGCTGATACCGGCTCCACAGCTCACCTTTTCTCCAGGCTCCCCCATCTCCCCAGGCTGCCCCTGCAAGACAAAACACATCCACCTTCCAGCCACCTCCCTTCCCTCCCTCCCTTCTCCTGCCTGTGTCCCCAGGACGCTGCCCCTCTCAGGTGTTTAAACGCTAGCCCACACGAAGTCCCTCCTCCCCGTCGGGCTGTGCCTTCTAACGACTACCCTACCTTGTCTGCCTTTCCCCTAACAGCTGGGTCCCTCCGGATCCGCCATCTGGTCCCTATAAGCTTTTGCTGCCAAAAGTGTTCATGAAATGGTGTTTTGTGTGGTCCTCGTGCCAGGGCTGGCTTTTGCTTCTTTGTCACCTGGTTTAGTTCAGTGATCCAGCAGAAAATGAACATCAGGAACCACCCTCCCCCCCCCAATTTTTGCACTTACTCCTGAGAGCATGGCAGATGTGTGTTAGCATTGCTGGAGCAGAAACACGCAGCCAGGTTCAGGGTTGAAGGTGGGACTGTGGAAATCCCAATTTACATCAACACAGTCTCCCACAGACCCTGAATGTCCTCCCCATCAGCACGTCCCCAGCCGTCTCTCCCTTCCCAGACCCTCTTAGCACAGAAAGCCTTCTCCTGGCCTCGGAGGCTCAGGCCAGAAGAGTGCTGTTGCTACCTTTTCTCCTTTGTCTCCATGGGCTCCTGGAGCGCCCATTTCTCCCTGGAAAGCAACAGGCAACCCCTTCAGTTTCTGACATGCATCGCTACATTTTTCCTTCCCTCTTTGGACCAGGCAGGTGCTGCTCTTGCTCCTGCCTCAGCTTTTGGCCAACATCTGTGGAGGAACCCCTCGTTTCCACCACTTGCATTCCCAGAGCAGATCGGAGATGTCCCTGACCCCATCCCTCCTATCTTGCCCAGTGGAAATGCAGAGGAAGAAAACATAAATTGCAGAGTAAGGGCCAGATATGAGTGGGAAGCCGAGGATCTCCCTGCCCCAGGCTACTGCAGATGTTAAAAGATGCCGTGAGTTTAAGGGAGATGGGAGAAGTTCACAGAAGAGAGAATAAGGATGCCCAAGACACAAACCCACATCTGGATCAGCTTTGAAGGGTTCAAGCCTGGAATCTCTGCTCATTACCAATGGCCAAAACTGTTAATTACTACCCCTTGAACCCACCAGCCTGGCCGATTTGCACCCTCAGCCTCCCAATGAGATTGCCCTGGGAGACGGATCACCATCCTGGCTCTCCCCAGCACCATTTGGTATCTGCATTAAAAGGCAAAACAAAAGCACTGACCTTTTGGCCATGGGAGGGTGGATCTGCTGGGCCAGTTTCCTCCTTCTGTAAGAAAAAAAAAGATGCACATACAGAACGGGGCTGGGATGCGGCGTGGCCCGGAAAGGACCAGCTGCACCCTCACCACATGCAGCTGTGGTAAGAGGAGTACAACGTGAATGCTGTACCTTAATTCTCCTCGGGCGATGAGGGCCTGGGTATGCCTTGAATCAAAAAAAAAGGGAAGAGGAAAGTGGGAGAGCAGTTGGAGAAACGTTTTGCCCCGAAGCCATGGAAAAGGCATCTCCAAGCAGCCAGATGTTAGGCAGCCAGTGGAGAGGCTGGAGGCATCTTGTGAGGACACTCTGTGTTACCAGAGATCAGGAGACCCCATCGAAGTGCCCCTGGTTGGATATGGGGTGGCCTCCAGGCTCCTTCTGACCTGCTCCAGCCCAGATGGGACGTCTAAAACCTGGTGTTGCCTGTTGCATATGGGCTGCCAGGGCCCGTGAGCCAAGAAATGCTTCGGTACCAGGCTTTTGGCAACGGCACAGGCATCCCAGCCTTTACTGAGGGCTATGAGAAGATGTGTTTTTTCATGGCATGGACGAGCTCAGCTCAATGTTCCTGGGAACGTAGGGTGAGGGTCACTCACTGCTTTCAAAGAAATTAATTCAAACTTAGGGGAAATCTGTTGTTCAGAATTTTTCACCCTTAACTCCTGGAAATGGGTCTTTCTCTCCTAAATTTTGTAAAAATTAACTCCTTGCACTTTCCATTTCTGGCATATTGTGTTAAAGTCGACAATGTAATTGTGCCGGTGTGTCGGAGATGTGTGCGTTTATAAACACACACATATATTTACACATTTAAACACGCACACAAATATCTTCTAAACTCTCAGGACACAAAACACCCTTCAGTTATGCTGCTTTCCCCATGAACCAGGTTATTATGTTCCCTCATTGATTAAGTTTGATTTTCCCCGCTTCTGTTTTCCGAGCATCACATTTCCCTTGCCAGATACAGGGAGAACGATCTGCTCTGCCAAGAAAGATGGCTTCTGCAGGAGCTGTTTCCTGCTTTATTTGTTAATATTTATCACTAAACTTTCACCCCCCTCTACATTTATTGTGACTTTGCACAACCGGCCAAGTGGGGTTCCCCTCGTGTCCGTGTGTTTGAAGACGCCCTTGTACGTGCTCTTCACTCACCGCGGATTCAGATGGCGATTTCCAAGCTCCCGGGGCACCGGGGGGATGAACCTGTGGTGGAACCAACCGAGAAGGGTCACCGCTTCGTCCTACGTCATACCAGTGGCTCTGCTCTTGCACGAAGCCGCCGCGGTGAGATGGGGTCTTTACCGCGTGTCTCTCGCGCTCGGCAGATCTCCTGGCTCTTGGGGGCCTTGGGGGTGCAGAGCCGTCATCTAAATTCACGTTTTCCTGCGGCAAGAGAAACGGCATCCTGCTGAGCACCTAATGTTATTATTAATAATAGTATACTAATATATATTAT